TATACGAGGACGAGTAACTCCCGTCGTGACTGGGCTCTATAATACCCAAGTCTATTCAGTACTCCGCATCTCCGAACGCAGATAATCGTTAGAGGACTCGATATTAGACGTCGGCATGATCAATCAGTCGATGACGTTGTATCTGTTCCTATCGATTCTATGTATAAGTATCGCGGTCATCGTTGTCACCGACGATAAGAGAAAATTTATTCAAACAATTTCCTCCTAAGAACAATAACACCTTTTAAAAAGTTAATCATATTTTGAAAAGAACTTATGTGTTTCGTTGTACGGTTAAAAGTTAAAAAAAGAAAAAAAAAATGGAGCACAATCCATTTATGTAAATTAAAGATTGATTTCAAATTAAGAACAGGTCAATTGTTCAATACCTTTTTTTTTCCTTTTAATACTAACAATATTCATCATACGTATATACCATTAGAACAACTATTTATTAATGACAATTAAATGTTTGTTATTTAATTTAATTTTATTGATATTAAACTTCTAAACCGATGAAAAATTCTCGAATACGTCGAGTAATAGGCAAAAGATATCATGTCGGTCGAAAGGAACGCATTCCATGCGAGCAAAGGGCCTGAACGGAGCCTTAAGGACTCGACTCGCCGACGATGCATCTGGGAGAAGGGTGGGAGAGGAGGGCGACCGCGACAAAGGACATTCTAGGGGGCGATTCCCCCTCCCCCTCTTTCCGCTTGGCTCTCTCTTTTTCTATCTTTTTCTTTGTTTTTCTCCTTACCTCGGAACGAGAGAGAGAGAAAGAGAGAGAGAAAGAGAGAGAGAGAGAGAGAGAGAGAGAAAGAGAGGCGGTCCATGGCGTCCCGACGTTGCCAGTTCGTCGACTTCGGGGTCTCAAGTCCCATACTCACGGAACGGGCCCTTATCTCTCTCGGGCCCACGCAACCGCGCGTCATGTCATGCAATTTATTGGATCGATCGCGCCTTCGTGGAAACTCAGCGCCGATCCATGGTGAAAGCCATTCGCTCGCTTGCTCTCTTGTTCAGAGGCCGTTCTGGTTTCAGGTTAATAACAGTAAAACAGGGATTATAAAAACGTGCGCTTTGCTTTCATCTATTCCAGTGAATCATTGTTCCGGAATAAAGAAATCATTTCGATGACGTTAATCGTTTCTTGATACGCTATTGATTAATCCTTAATAAGTGGAACGATAAATTATTCACGATGATATATTTCTTCTTTAAAAAGTTTCCGGTCGATCTTATTTTATTATATTTCTATTATATATTTGATTTATTCATACTTTTATTTTATTTAGCCATTAATTAATTAAATACTACTCGTTACAATATAATAACGATAACTATAATTATATCACAACATATATAATAGTCACTACAATAAGAAAATTAAAAATATACAAATCTTTATTCGATTGCGAACACACAGTACGATCATTATATTTGGCAATAGTAGTATTCGTTATCTATCTTAAATCTTAATCTTGCGTTTGACGTATCAAAAGCTTTGTGATGAGAAATTATCATTGAAAAGGAAAGAGCAAAAGAGAACGCTAAAAGAAAGAAAAAAAAGAAAAAAAAAAGATAGAAGAGAAAAGATTATACGAAAGCATTCTCAAACTGTCGAATCGAATTTCTGGGTAATGGCTTCCCTAGGACTCCCGCTGCCAAGAACATGGGCCCGTCTACGGTGAACTTAAATTAAGGGTGGACCCCTCATTTTCTTAAAATATTAAATCATCGTCCTGGTGTCGCAGCGGGGGCTACCACGGTGCATCCTCCGGGCCCCGTGGAACGAGCTCTGGGTGAAAAGGAATTAAAATTCATTGGTCTCAGAAACCCATGTCACCGGCCGAATGCCATCGTAAATACCTGATCATCTCTCTCTTGCTCTTTGGCTTTCTACCTCTCCCTTTCTTAAAAGGTCACCTTAAAAATTATACATCTAGAAACTTGCCAAGGGCTCTCACTCGAAAATTTTAGACCGTAACATCAGTAATAATTAGTCTCAGTAATCGATTATCGCCTTAACTTTCGAAGCTACGTTTTGGTAAAGTGTTTCTCAAATATATATATATATATTTCTCAAATATATATATATACCTATTTTCGTTGTGATCATAAAAGTACTTTATCTAATCGATTCATTTTATTAAATGTCAACCATGGATGGTTTCTAAATGACAAAATGAATTCCCTGACTTACTCTATCAAAGTTTATTTTTAAGTATATATATATATATATATATATATATATATATATATATATATATACAAAATCCATTATTGATTGAATAATTAAAACATTTAAGCGATTCTCATTTATTTGATCTAGTGTGCTGATTCGCTTCATATATCATATCTTATTTTATGTACAACAGATCGCTGAAATTTTGTCGACAAAAGTAATCTCTCGATGCTTGATAACTATCCTTATCTTCTATTTCTCCTTTTTAACTACTAGTCTTAAACGAGAATCTCAAATTAATTATGATTGTATATAACTTGATTTGAGCGCTCGTTGAACAATATTCGCGATTGGATTTGTTAATTATTGCAACGGTAACATCATGTCAAACATGTATTCTATATTAATTAAGTACTAATTTAGGTACTATTGTGTATCGCAGTTCCTGATTCACAGTGGCAGCTTCGCCGTGGGTTTAGGTTAGTATATACATAACGTTTATCTACGTTACGGAAAATATTTTCATTTGCTATTTAGTTAACAATCATGATCTCTAATTTAAAATAAATAATAGAAATAGTTGTTGATAAATATAATATGAAATTGTATATGCATTAACATTTTTTTTCAACATTACATAACGGAGAGTTGTAAAGAGGTTGAAATCTTTCTAAAATTCACCTATCACCTCTCTTACATCGAGAGCATGATCTCTCTTGGGTATTCACAAGAATGTGTCGCATAAGTGGAGAATGGATAGGGAGAGACAGAGAAGATTCTAGGTTGTGTGAGAGAGGGAGTACCTGTTGACAGATATTTGCATGTGAATAGAGCTTTCTGTACCACTAAGCGATTCACCTAATCTCCTGGAGATTATTTTCTCGCGGACACAGGTTTTCTACCCATAGCTGCTTCTCGGTCCGCCATTATTATTGTAATTTTCTCTCTTCTCTTCTTTAATCCTTATCCTTAATCGACCTCGTCGATCTAACGTTACGCGTGAGTTAAGTTTAACGCAAAGGAAAAAGAGACTTTAAAAGAGAAAGTAATATTTTCTTCTCATTATTCTCAGTTTTACATATAGATATATACTTCATTGATAGAGTCTAATTTAAATCTTTGATTTTTAATCTCTAAGGGGGATAAAGAGTAAAACTGTAGAAAGGGCATAAGAAAAAGGGATAAAAAGAGATAGATAAAGAGAGAAAGAGAAAGGGTGGGAGGGAGATAGAGAGAAAGCTAAGGTAATCGAGCAGAATAACCCGAGGCATCCAAGATATAGACGGCAATCTAAAGGGACCTAGATAGACCTAATTTAATTAATAGGCTTTGGACGGTCACGTTGTACATGCACGTACGGATTAATGACCGGATAACATTGTTAATTTCACGTCGACCGTCCATCATGTCAATGCAAAGATACGACACTGACAGTGAGCCTGACGTATACCTTACATTCGTATACTCCCCGACGTGCATTTCTGAGTACATGCGTGTACGAAGAACGTGCATATGTAAGTACCCTTTTGGCCCATAGGCGTAGAGCTATATGTTTTCTATAAGAAATAATATTTTTGCAATTTTATATATCAATATCCAAATGGACTTTCGTAATTAATAAATCACACAAACTTAGCCGTGATATTTTTAAAACTGTATTAATCTAATTAACGAATACATATAAAATGATCACATTTTTAAACATATTAACTCGCACGCGCGTATACTTAATTACAAAAAAAAAATATATATACTTCTGTAAGAGATTTACATTAAACTTTACATTCTACCTCTAACTGTAAATAATCTGTAAGATCAAAGAAATTACAAAAGAGAGTCCACCAAGATCGCTGCCAATGCTTCGAGGTATCTTCATGATAAACACGGAGGATGACTATGATCAAAGTGCTTCGGTACACATAATTGGAGTATAGCGCCTTGAATAACACAACTTTAAACAAGCCCTTGCTAAAGTTTGTTTGTAATGTTCGAATTAGTTTAATCCATCTATCAATGCTCTATACACGTTACTTGCTTCGTAATATCTTAACCGAGAAAGTCATCCCATTGATACCAAAAGGTATCGGTGAATGAATTACGAAACAAATTAATTGCTATATCTCTCTGTCTATCACTTTTCAATAGCTTTAAATAAAGTTAGGATATAAATAAAACTCTTGATATACCAAGAATACCTGGATTATCCGTTGAAAAAGAAAAAAAAAAAAAAGAAAAAAAAAAAAAGAAGAATTATTTCTTTTTCAACCTTATCCGAATAACACCGGGTTGATGAACTTTGAAGATAATCAAGAAGGCAAGAGTTCTTCTTTTAGTCTTGTTCTCTGTGTCATACTTTCTCATCGTCTCTGTTTCCTCGACGCAATGAAGGCGGCTGAAAGAGAAAGATATGGAAAGAGACAAGAATAACGAGGGCCGGCAGGGTGAGGAAGAGAGATAGCAATTAAAAGGTATTTATACACCAACCAATTCGTGATCACCACTCACGTCGTTCCTGAAGCTTGAATAGGTCCCTGGATGATGTATTAACTCATATTTGTCTCCTCACAATGCCCAGCTAAACTGTCTATCTCTATTTCTCTCCTTCTCTTTCTCTATCGTTTTCTCTGTCCAGGTGCCCGACGTTTTACACTCTTCCATTTCTCTGGAGATCATACGGACGACAGACGCGCATGGTCGACATTATAATAGGATAGACCATACGGAACGAGAGACCAGGGACTGTGGAACAACTTCTGGGAGCCTCGGAAGGAACGCGATTTCGTAAAAGGAAGAATTTCATTCCTACGAATGTACATATCGTGTTATTTATTTATGTATTATCCGTACAGACTTTATCCGTGCTATTCGTTCTCTTTAAATAATAAAGAAAATACTTTCAAAGTGTAAAATATTAAAAAAAGATTAATCGTAAAACTACCGAGTCATTTTGAGGGACAGGTATCATAGATAGGACATGGTCGAAATAAATTTGATTCGAAATGTGTAGAAGAGCAAAAGTATAGAGAGAGAGAGAGAGAGGGAGAGAGAGAGAGAGAAAGAGAGAGAAAGAGACTGATCTCCGTCCCTGCTGGTACAGTTCCACATTCCTCATTCTCAACGGGTGGTCCGTTCCTCGAACATGTCCGTCTTTGTCTATTCTCTTAGAGACGCGATAGTTCCGTTGCATACTTTTTGTGATCGATCACAAGACCTCGTCATTCTATGTGATAAGATTGCCTTTAATCTGCCAAGAGATGGAACGAAACGAGCATATCTCTCCTCGGTCCGACACGCGTCAAAGCGCGATGCGATTCCAATTGAAGTAATCAATTTTTAATCCAAAATGACAAGCCAAAAGAATACATGTTCAGAGCAACAGGGAATATTATTACATTTTTTTTCTTTTCTTCTTTTTTTTTTTTTTTTCTATTTTACTGTAATTTAAAATAACTATCTAATACTTTTCATATATGTTAATTCGAATATCTATGTACATTCAATTCAATTGTAATAATCTATGCAATCCAGAAATCAAATTTCTCATAGACACTCTTCAATATTCCTCTAAATCAAAATCCAATTGTATTTGAACAGTACGAATTCCCTAGATGTTCGAGTCGCCTACGGCGAGCATATTTTAAACGAATCATGCGGTACGCCGCCTCTCGTCCATCCTAACCTCATATGTTAATAATCTCCTTTCGTAGAGTCAAAAACTTTTGATTCGTAACAGCGTATGGTAAAAGTTACTCTACATTTCTTTTTTCCAGGTGAGGAAAAAAAAAAAAAGAAAGGAAGAAAGAAAGGAAAGAAAGAAAGGGAAGAAAGGGAGAAAAAACATGCTGGTGTCCGTAAAATTTATTAAAACCACAAACAGCGAAAACGCAGCCTGATTTCTAAAGCGTTCTGTATTTTTCCAATTCTGGCTGGTGCATGCGGTTAATTACCTACATCTACCGGACGGAACGAGATGGCAGTGTGGTGGATGATGTTGGAGTGGGGGAAGGAGATGGAAGAAGAGAGAAAAGCGTTACACTAGGAAATATTTCGAAACGTCGGCTGATCACGTCCGTAGTCGCGGACGCGCGCACGCTACCTCGCGTTTGCACGAGAAAACTTCGAAATTATTCTCGATTATTCAAATTCGCAACCCTTGCCGCGAGCTGTATGAGGGCCGATTCAAATTTATGCAAAAGTCCGGCAACGCGAATCTCCGTTCTTATTAATATGGATCAATTTGACATTCCTCCTCTTGCCTTTTTCCCCTCTTACCGTTGGCCCTCACGTACGGCACTTCTCTTACTCTTTCTGCTTCCTTTTTTTCTCATGGTATAGCACCTTCTCAAATTGGACCACCTAACAGTCGAAGAAATGCTTGTACAAACGATTCTCTTTCTTTCTCTCTTTTTCTCTATCTCTCCTTATTATCCTGATTTCTATGATTTCTTCAAATTCCTTTGGATAAAACATGATGTAGATATTACTAAATTGTTGATTTACCAAATCATTCATATAATCTGTAAAAATATGAATAGTACGATAATGCCCTTTTTGCCCTTTTCAAATTTATTAAAAATAATCATTTTGTCAAGTACAATCATTTTGACAATGTAGATGCATACGTTGTACAATGCGATACGAAATGCCCGTTTGACCTTATCCCAGCGATGTCTTCGACAAGTTCAATTGTCATCTTGTTCAAACCATCAAAAAGATTGTAGGGAAAGAAATAGAAAGAATAGTGCTCGAGAAAGAATAGTGCTTAGTCTATCCACATCTCGTACTAGGTAACTGTTTGGTCTAACAAGGAAACTTCCATTCTCGTAGCTTGAAATGATGATCATTCGACAGATCAAATTTGATCATTTGCGTAATGTTGATATACAAATCTATGGTTTCAATTAAATTAAAAATTATTCAAAATGTTGATTATTTGTCATTATAAATTATCGAAAAGAGATTCATAAAGTAATTAGACTTAACAGATTAAATTGTCAAGAATAGTTAAGATAAGTAAATAAATAATCATCTTCGAAGTTTAAACCAAGAACAAAGGTTACTTTCACGATTATAAGGAATAAAAGTAAAATCACGTGATAGAGACGGATCAGTAGCCTCTTTCGAATGTGAACCAACCAGCGGTTTAAACCTTTCGCTACGGTCGTGGCACACACAGTAGAGAGTTTGCTGCACGCAAATGAAGAATTGTCAGCCAAATACGGTTCGAGGGTGGTAAGGGGTGTCAGTAGGGGATGAATGGAGCGTAATACCGGGTCTACCCTGATTGTTGCCCTCCCTTTACCTTTCTCCCACAACCTCTCGAACCCATCGGAATTTCCAGTACGAATTTCCGCCGGTGACTGCGACGTCACTTCCGTCCCAGAGACAAGCAGAATCGTATCCTTTCTCTAACTCGTTCCCGTTTAACCTTCCCACACTCTCTTGCCCTTTCTCACACGCCAAAATGATCGTGTGCGATTCTACAAAGTTCTACTTGATCATCATGTTCAAGTGGATCTTCAAATTTTATCTTGCGTAATATGAATCTTTTCTTTCCTTCTACGAAAAATTTATTACTATAACTACAATTCTCTATGTCATTCAAATGATCAGAAATGTTCTTTCTCTTTTTTCTTCTTCCAAAGTTATCATTAACGCATACTTATCTATCCTTTTTCAATGTTTCCTTATTAATCAACAATGTGCTTTTGTCATCATTATAATCCCAACTTCATGGTATAATTTCTCCTCATATATTTTCAAAAAAAAAAAAAAAAAAAAAAGAATTTACGCATCGATATTGCTAAAACTTTTTATTGCAATTTTTTTGCAGTCATAAAACTCATTTGAATGCATATTAAAATGTGCAGTTGTTTATTCGGTATTGGTTACATATAAATTTTTCGAGATACTGAATTTTCAAAAATGAATCTGTAAAGTAAAATTATTTTGTAAATAGTTGAGAAATTACCCAAGTCGCTTACTTTTTCTATAGAAAATTATATAGGCTTTCTAGTTTTTAAAGAAAAGAATTTGATTTTTCATTCCTAGGTGCAACACAGAAAAGAAGTAAAGAGAGAGGGAGGGAGAGAGAGAGAGAGAGAGAGAGAATGAGAGAGAATGAGAGGAACCATAAGGATCTACCCCTTTATAGCAGACGTAAATAATATAGTTGAAAAGGTAAATATAATTACCTAACCGTGTGTGTAACGTGCTTGTAAGCGACGCTTTTGAAAGGCGCTACCCCCGTCAACGTATTCAATGGCACAGCGCGCCTGCTTGAATTAAGATTTCAGTAGCTCCATTGCATAAGATTGCTCCGTAGGTTCATATAATCTAACTTAGAGTATGCCACAATGTCCTTCGTTTTTTAAATCTACCAAAGCACAGTAAAGATAAGCGTATACGGATATTTTCCATTAATCGTCGATTTGATATCGACGTTGTAAAATTGTATCCCTAATGGAAAATAAATAATTAAAAAATAGAAAATATTTGATTTGTTCGTCAATGAATAAAAAATATTTTCTAATTGAACAAGTAAATACGTTTGAAGTGCAAAAAGTTAATGATATTTTTAGTCGAATGTTGACAAAGTAAATGTTTGCAGCAGCAAAGAAAAAAGAGAAAAAGAGATTGAGAAATGAGGGTGGTCGCGAGAAGGTACCCTTAGCTTTATTAGAACGGAAACGATGTATGAAGCTCGATTCGCATAATGTACCTCTATGTACGTACCTATCTACGTACGAAGAGTATTATGTATACGGTACTCTTCGAATAAACGAACGAAACGAAACGAAACGAAACGGAACGAACGAACGCGCGTTCGAATATACTATTCGTATGTGAGTACTTTGGTGGCTTGAGTGCGCTTCGAGTATTCGCGTAAGGTACGTAGGAAAAATATGTTCGACGTGAGTACGCGTATGCGGGGGTGAAGAAGAAAGGAGAAAGAAAGCGGGTGGGTACGAGTAGTGGTGGTGGGTCTTCGAAATAATTGGCTCTCTTGATCGCTGGCCTCGTTCGAAGGACCGGCTTTCAATATTCTTGTTGGACTTACCCCTGTTGAACCTTTGCCTTTTCTTAACTTTCCATTCCTTTTTCCGTGAGCTACGATACACATCGTTCTTTTTCGCGTCCCTTTTCTCTCTCTTTCTCTAGTTCCCTTTGGCTATTCGATCGTTCCTCAACGTTAGTTGAATGTTGTTGTTTCGTTTTTTATACTATTTCATTTTTCAGAAGAATCTGTTTCTTACTTCTGCTGTCTACTCCCGTCCACGATAACGGCTAATAATTCAGTGAATTTTATTGTTTCTCCCGTGAAACCTCCTTGATAGAGTCGAACGATCCAAAAACTTTTTTCTCCTCGATGTTTTTTCCGCAAACTTCCGAAAATCATTACGAAGTTCACGAAAGCGTTCAGGCGATCGTAAACTCGCGTCGTAAAGGTCGCCAAAATAAACGCACCTTACATGGTAGCCTAGCGTAGGCGGATGTCATGTCCCTGCAAAATCATTGCCACTAAAAATCAGAGGTTTCCGCAGGAAATTTATAACACTTCTCGCATATCTATCGACTTTCTGGTCTCCTCTTCGTCCATTCTGAAAAAAGAAATTCAATATTGTGGTCTTTGAATGGAATAAGAATCGCGGATCGATATTCTCTCTGTTCTAAAATTTCAAAATTGTTACCTATGAATTTTACAACTCTTAATTTATTTATCCATAGTAACATTCGTAGTGTGGCTATGTTGCAAATGATCACACTGCTTTCTTGAAATAAAAACCTGAGCAGGATTGAAAAATCATATTAGGAATCTACTTGAATCAAACGAAAGATTATGATACTTGTCACAGTTTATGAATACGTATAGGATACGATATTGGAAACGCGCTAATATTGTAAATATGAACTAAACATTACGTTTCTACGATCTAACCTGAAGATAATACTCGTAAAAAGATATAGCTGAGTATATACCGTTAAAGAGCATAAAGGAATACAAACCAAGACAGACATACATATTTAGGATTACTCGATTGGCGATCTCTCCTTGTTTGAGAACCTGTCAGTCGATCGGTAACTACACAAAAACACACTTACACTAACTCGTACGTGCCTCTCCCTGAGTTCCTCAAGCCATGGCTCGTCGTTTAGTCGGCACCCCATAGACGGTCGCAGGCGCACTTGTCAAAACTCTTATCTAGAGTCGCATCTACTAGGTAAGAAAAACAGCAAAGTTGAACCGCGGTAACTGGTTGAGCTGGTGGTTAGGTCCTGGAGAGAAAAAAGAGAGAGAGAGAAGGAGAGAATGACAGTTAGAGTAAGAAAACAATGGAGTATCCTCGAAGAACCTACAACGGCGGGCTACGTTTGGGAAAAAGGAACAATGGCGTGACCAAGCTCACGGAAGGTTTCGGATAATTGCAGTGGATAGCTCGAAAAGGTGCCGACCGTGAAGGGTTCCGATCGGTACGCTTGTCACGAGGCGTTAGTATATCTATCGCAAGAAGCGAACTTCCTGCGACCCGAAAAGACTCGTTAGAAGGTTTTAGGATTGTTTCTTTGTAATCCAATAAGGATAAGATTTCTCTCGAGAGGTCGAACCCGATGAGGATCGACGTCAAGAGGAATTGTTTTTTTCTCTTTGCCAACTGTAATACACGGCATGTTTCAAGGTAGTTGAACCGAGAACTGTCAAAATAAGCTATCTCAAAGTTGAAATCAAAAGAGGAATGTGATCCTTTGAAAATATATTAATGGGATCTGTTTGAATTGTGAGTTTTTTAAATATTCAGATTTTCTTATTTTCAATAGCAATAAAATTCATACAATGATAATTTTTGATAACTTACACATTATCAACAAATCGTATTTTTAACATTTATCGATATACGTATCTTTAATATCTACATGAGTATTTCGGATTTGAACGTCAATTCTCTTTACCCAAAATTTATTTCACAATATTGCATTATAGTATATCTTTAATAAAAAAAAAATAAATAATTTTTACAGTAAAGTTAAAAATGACGATAAGTCACATTGTACAATCACGCGATGATAAAACCACTTGCATGATTTCAGATAATCGTTAATCAAACGATCAATACACTTGACTAATACACTCTTCTGATGTTACAAAGTATCTGATTAATTGTTTTAATCAAAATTAGCTAACTTAAACGACCCTGAATAACATGAAACGAAAGAGTTCGCTGAAAACGAAATTGAAGTGAATACTATTAAATATATTTTATTAAATTTGGAACGAACTATTTCATCGTAAAAAGATCACTTTAATATCTACAATATACTCAATCTCAAAAGAAAAAAAAAAAAAGAAAAAACTTAGAATCTTTACTTATAGTAAACATTTTCAAACAACTTTTTACTAACTTATCAATGACTTTTTTTAGCGATTACTGTCCTGTAACTGTCACACTTGCGTTAAAGATGTCCCGACTCCCATGATATCCTTATCGGTTTAGAAAGTTCAGAAAAAGAAGCAAATGGTTTGCTTCGAGAGGTTAGTTCAGCACGTTTCTACGTAATTGTTCAAAAAAGCGACTCTCGATAGCATGCCAAGTTACCGTCGGTCCGAGACGATGCTCTTTTACCGGTTCATTCACCTGTCCGATAGCCTCAAAGTATCCGGTTGACTCGATTAAGGAAATGCAACAACCGTGAAGAAGTTAACTCGATACGTAAAATATCAAATATGAGATCGTTTTTGTTAAACGAAAATTTATATAGTTAATATAAGCGAACAAAGAAATACACGTAATTTTAATATTTACAAAACAATTCTAATCTATGTTTACAAGTTGATATCGTGGAACCATTTCATTCAGACGGTCACATACAATCAATGTAGATTACTTACTTAGCACGTTACCTTTTAAATAATAACGCTTATGTTTCTCTTCATCTAATAAACAAAGTAACGTCCTTCCTGTTAAATGGAAAAAAGAAAAAAAATAATACATCACTCGTAAAAGTTCATTGGAATGATCAATGCCATTTATTTGAGATAAAAATATACGACAATTCTCAATTAATCCCTTTAAAATCGAAAATTAATTAATTAGCGTTAAAAAGAGCGAGTTGGCTAAACTTCTCTTTAATATTGCAGTGATCCCTCCGAAATGAATTGCTCTGATTGTTGTGTTGTGAAAAGAATGAACCTTGGCTTTAGAAACGGGCGGGAAAGAACAGCGCATTCGAACTGCTTAAAAGCGGACAAGCTACTAGTGCGCACGAGTGGAAGAACATGAGAAAAGGAGGAAGAGAAGAGAAAAAGGGGAGAAAGAAAGGAAAGAGAAAAAAGGAAAAGTACAATAACGCTCCTCGGCGATAAGTGACTAACCGTTGGCGACGTTGAACGCACAGCGACGAAGAGGACGAAGATTGGAGAAGGGAGTAAGAGTATCGAGAGAGTGAAGGAGAGGAAGAGAGGATAGGAAGGCGGAGCGTAATAAAAATAAGTAATTACTGCGAGTAATCCTTCTCCCTCTTCTCGATCCGGAGTAGAGAGTGTCGCGTCTCCCTTCCAGGTACCTCCTTCCCCACGCGAGAGAGTCGTTCAATTAACGGGAATACCGTTGTCCTTCCTTCGCTCCTCCACCACCTTCAACCTCCCACCAGCGAGTCTTGCGGAAAAGCTCCCCGCGAAACCCGCGAAATGTTTCACTCGTGAAGTCGCGTGGAGCTGAACGTACCGCCGGAGGTGGTGTATAGAGCAAGCTAAGAGAACTCTCTTTCTCTTTTTCACTCTCTATCTCTGTTTCGCTGGGACGCCCCTTCTTCGCTCACGCCCCTGACGTTAACCCCACCAGGCGGCGTTAACGGCGCGCGACTCCCCTACCGCACACTCTTTCCCTTCTGTATTGCTCCCACTACAGTGCTCTACTGCCGAGCTCGATCGCGCTCGGCTTCGTTCGGCTCTCTATTTCTCCCCCTCTCCTCACCCTTCTACCCGACAGACGCTCCGTGAACGCGTCGCGCGGCACGAAGAGCGGTGGTGGGGGTATTGGCCGTAGCTCCACTCGCTCGTCGGACGTCGTCGCGTACAGATGTGCTGTTATCTGTTGTTTATTACACGCGAGCGATAGTGTACCATCCAAACGCGCGCGTTTACATTCTGTGGTGTTTCTCCATTGCTCGATTACTTTCTTTTCTTTATCTATCGAGCTTTATCTTATTCTATTTGACAAAAAAAAAACGATACGAACTAACGAACGAACGAACGAACGAACAAACGAACGAACGAACGAACGAAAGAACGAACGAACGAACGAACGAACATACGAACGAACGAACGAACGAACGAACGAACGTACTACGTACGAACGAACTATCACGTAAGAACGTGACGTAAGGTCAATGGTGTGTGTGAACAAGAGAGTTTAGTGTGACAGTGCACGGATATGAATTCTCGAGACGACCGCCATGCGTCTCCTTCGCCAACGAAGGATCCTTCCTGGAGACACGGATTGATGCCACGGGATCGTTTCTACGGTGAAGAGCCACTCGATCGTCCTAACTTATCGTCTTCAACTCGATGAAGAACGATTGGCCAAGGAAGACGACGGCTCTCGACGGTGAGGATCTGTTTTCTTAAAAAGAAAAGATTATAAAAAAGGAAGAATCGATACATCATCAAAATAGTTCGCGCCTTTTTTTTAATTAACTTCTGCCTTCTACATCGTCGAAAGAGGGAAAGAGAGAAAGAAAGAAAGAAAGAAAGAAAGGAAGGAAGAAAGAAAGAAAGAAAGAAAGAAAGCAAGAAAAAGAGAGAAAGGGAGGGAGAAAGATAGAGAGAGAGAGAGAGAGAGAGAGAGAGAGACATTGTGTGTTCAACGAAAAGGATAGTGTATTATCTCAAGGATCTAAGAGTAAAAGTGAAAAAGCCGAGTATCCGATTTCTTGACGGTTGTGATAATTCGGAGCTACTTCGAATTGGTTTGAAATCGATAATAAAAAAAAAAAAAAAAAAAGAAAAAAAAAGAAAATAAAAAACGTGACACGCAAGTGGTGGCCCGCGAGGAAAGATAAACCTCGTAAGTTTTCTTAGAGATTTTCTTCCCAAGGAGATTGTAAGATCGACCAACCCACGGCATGCCGTGGCTCGAGGTGAGCAAAGTTTATCTTCTTAATGTCGATGACACTCCAATAACGTGACTCCAAAACGTATATTTAAAATGTATCGCGTTATAGTCGTAATCTAAAATGCGTGAAATTTAAATTTTAAATAAGTGACAAGTGTTCTTTCCATTATCACCGATGTTCTTTGAATTCTATTCAAGGATCAAACAGAACGATTTTTCATATTTTCCTAATATTCAAGTCAGTGAAATTCAAGTTAGAATAATTTATCGGTATCCTTGAATATGAACTTTTTAGGAATTATTTTAAAATATATCGAATATCTCGTACCGACGAGGAAGTTCATTTCGAACGAAGAGCACGACGGAGACTGAATGAGAGGAGGAGGAGAGAGAAGAAATTTCCGTGTAGGAAGCGTCTGGAGAGAGTGTCGGGACACGCAGGCGCGCCCATTCTCGCCACGTGCTCGCTGCACTTCGTTCAGATTTCTATGCCGTTGTATAGAAGAGGTGTTAAATGTTCTCTCTCTCTCTCTCTCTTACTCTTTCCCTTTCTCTTTCTCTCTCTCTCTCTCTCTTTCTCTCTTTTCTTTTTCTCTTTTCCTTCTTTTTTCTCAAAAATTGTAATACCAAACGAACAAACGTATATACATTGAGAGTTTGTATATATCTATATATCGAGGGTAGATAGAATGCGACGTAGCGAGTTGGAGTTCGCTACGTTGGCAAAACAAGTAGTCAGTTACGTGAGTGCTGGCGGACGGCCAAAGAGCTTTGAAGTTTCAACGTTGAGCATGAATCTCTTTTCCCTTTCTTTTTCTCTACATCACTAACTCTCTCTCTCTCTCTCTTTCTCTCTTTCTCTCTCTTTTTTTTCTCTCTCTCTCACTTGCTCTCTCTTTCGTGATATAACTCGCGGAGAGACACGCTCGACTTATTTTTCCCCTCTTTTCGTCTTTCCGTTCTCTTTTCTGTAATTCACGCGGGGTATTGCCACCATATCGCCTTTGTGGCGCGTCCAATTAGCTTGGCCTTCGTATGTGCACACATATGTACATACTGAAAGAGAGAAAAAGAAAGAAAAAGAAAGCCCACGTTCAATGAAAGTGTAACTAGGGACCTTATCAAGAGCGTATGTGAAACTCCCGATTCTTGAAACTCCTCTGAGCCGCACAACGGACCGATCGATTCCTTATTATTTTAATTGAAAAAGAATTTAAACTATATCACTCTAAGCCTTTATAAAAATCTTTTTATTCTTTAATTAATTTCAATGTCGAATGATTCAGTTGTTCCATTATTATTATAAATGACGTAAAATAAAATTAGTAATTCAGCTTGTCATCGTCACCGTCATCGTTATGAATATGATACTAGTCGATATTAGGAAGACTTAAAGGTGCCTATATTGTTGAGTTTGTGCGAAAGTGGCAGTTTGTAATTAAACGACGACCTTATCGTTACCGGGTCTACGTAGGTTGCTTGAATGTATACGGGAATGAATTAAAATGTAAATATTTGATTAAAGTTAATCCCAACCAGGTGGGTAGACTGGTATAAAAGAGACGGAGAAAGAAAGGCCAGGATAAGGGTTTATAAGAGCGTATAAGAGAAAGAGAGACAACGGGAGGGAAAGTGAAAAAGGTAGGAAAAAGGAGGTATAGAATTAGAGAGAAAAAAAAAGAAGGAAAGAAAGAGAGAGAGAGAGAGAGAGAGAGAGAGAGAGAAAGAAAGAAAGAGAGAGAGAGAGAGTTAAAGAAAAGCATGGTGGTAGTAACCCTAAGGGGTGCTTTTTATTGCCGGTTTTTATTAGCTGAGTAGGTGTAGTCTGTTTCTCCCTTCGCAAGGCGCTCTCTCTCTCTCTCTCTCTCTCTCTCTCTCTCTCTCTCTCTCTCTCTCTCTCTCTCTCTGTCTTTCCTATATACCAGTATACACATATACATCCTTTATTCGAGTCCACGATGCAATGAAGGAATGGCGGGGTAGAGGGTTGATTAAAATTACCGTTGCGTCAGGAATTACCCTGTGATATTGAAAATTAAATTAATATAATACAATACCCCATCCCTTTCCGGTAGCCGGTGAGATTAATTAGTTATATTATAGTAATTAAAAGTTAAGTATACCTACGTATCTCACCAAAGAATCCATCATGGCAGTATGATATGTACATTTTTGTAAAACTTACAAAATCTCTATTTATAAATTCATTTTTGTATTAACATATAAAAAATTATTCTTTCATTTTTCTAATTCAACATTAAGACAATTTTAAAATACGTGAATTATATGATTTCGAAGGTTATGCCAAGCCAGAAAAAAGGAAACAAAAAGTATAAGAATGAGAGCATGCATATATATATATATATATATATATATATATATATATATATATATAAGCCAGTAAGAGTTTAAAGTATAACAGTTGGCAAGGAGAAATGGAATGACATTAAACGTAATATATATATATATATATATATATATATATATACACATATATAGCACATGTAATCATGGCGAAGAAATGCATATACGAGATAGTACTAAGGTATAACGGGCAAAGATGCTATATCAATTATTATTCACGCCAATTTATTAAAAAGGACTGCTATGAAGCACATATCTTCACAATTCTTAGTCAACTGTAGCTTTCTCATATATTCGTCGACCGAATTCAATACTTTTAGATGTCCCTTCTTCCCCCTCTCTTCTCTGCTTCTCTCTCTCTCTCTCTCTCTATCTATCTGACAGATAAGTTTATAACTATGTTATGAATACGCTTCCTTTCATAAATTATCGAAATGCTTTCAAGAAATTGTAGGATGCATTAGCTTACATTACGGTACTTCCATTACATTATGAATATTACTTCGTATATTGATGAGGAGGAGTGGGGAGAAAAGCAGGGGTAGCGATAGTGGTGCTAGGAGGGAAGAAGAGGAACACGGCATAGAGCCACATCGTATTTTATTATTCTCGACATTTAAAATAGTTCGTGCTACCGTGATAGTTATTACAATATTACGGAAGGCATTAACAAAGATAAACATGATTATTTAATGAACACATGAAATGGAGTTTGATACATTTATTTTTTTTTCTTTTTTCTTTTTTTTTTCTTTCCTTTTTTTATATTTTGTAACCATTTTAATAGTTATCACGTAACAGGCATATTATACAGCGACAAAATATAACGAATATGATATCCTTAAGATTTTCTTAAAATAATTCCAAATTTATGCGAAAAATAGTTTAGACCATTATGCATATTTTTGTTTTTGTATGCATATACTCAACATACACACACATACAGACACACATATACACTTTAGACTTTCTTCGTTATTACTACGTAGGACGCCTTGATGCATTAACTTGAATACATCTATGAATATTATCCCGTACTTTGGCGAGTACACTCGGAAGGCGATGATTGCAATGGTGGTGGTAGCAGTAGGGGAAGGAGATGCTTCGGAGATGTAAGAGAATGGAGTGGGGGAAGATTGGCGAGGGGTCGGCTAGTATATAAGGTATAAGGTAGTCCATTAGCGTTAATATTATAAACGTTAGCTGCCCTCTGGCCATCCCAGTAACATGCTCGCGCGCGCATGCGTGGTCGTTTTCACAAACATACACACGTACATACGTATACGAATACTCGGTTCTTCCTACATTCTCTCTCTCTCTCTCTCTCTCTCTCTCTCTCTCTCTCTCTATCTCTCCCTTTCGCCCTTCTCTCTCCCCCTCCCTCCACTCTCTCTCTCTCCTTTCGTACAAACGAACATTAATATAAGCTACATATATATATGAGTACGTATACAGTTATACGTGGTCAGACTTACGCATACATCGACAAATATTACGCGAACGTTACGTACACCGCAGCTCTTAGGTGTTCTGTTACCATATATTATCCCCAGACTCTGTATTCTACAGGGTGACCGGATTGAGATCTGACACCATTCGTTTCGGACCGAATCGATGGCTTGTTTTGTATTTCTTTCGATATTGGGCTCTTTTTCTGTAAGAACATAAATGATTTTAATGGCAGTTAATTCTTCGTTAAAATAAATTTCAATTAGACATATCAATCTTCTTATTCTATAACTCCAATACTAGAAAAACATAGTTTATTTTTATCATATATATTTTAAATGAGATTAAATATAGTAACATGTTTGTTTATCAGATATATTAAGATTGTATTTATATATATTATCTACGTGTATTCACATATACTAGGCAAGAGGCAAGGGTCTAAAGGTACTCCGATTCAAGAGGATTTCGCTAATCCTGTGACGAGGATGGTTTTAACGGTTGGCCAAAGTGCAAAATGGAAACATGGGGTTTCTACGGGGTGAAAGTAGGATAAAAAGGCCAAAGGAGAAAATGTCTGAAATATATTTCGATGCACCTGCTTTAGGTGCATAAGGTTTAGACTTTTAGTTTTAAACTGCTTTGCTTTCTTGAACCATAACTACATTGTTGTAAGGAACATTATGATCTTTTTATTCGTTGATATTTGAAATATCAATCAAAATCTCTTTCGAAATGATAAAAATTTTTAATTCTTCATGGAGAAAAATTTGAAATTAATACTTAAAAAAAAAAAAAAGAAAATGTACATACGAAGAAGAACTGAAAATGTGTAGAAAATATATCACCAAGCATATAGCGGTGATAGGAAGAAAAATAGAAGAAAAGAAGAAAAATCGTCATTAACAGATTTTTGTTGCTTCCACATTACGTTGTATAACACCATTGTTAATACGAAAAAGGATTGGTCGCCTCCGCTTCTTATCTAGCACAATATACTTAAGATGTCGACTCGTACACCCTCATTCGTTTCATAGACCCACACATATACACGCTCACAATCCTTATAGCAACCCCATCTGTGCTATATCGAAACACGGCGGTTACCTATCCCTCGGTAGGTTCATGGAAGTCACTTCTAGAAAGAGAGAAAGAAGAAGATAGAGAAACGAACGTATACTGGATTGGAGCAAAAAAAAAAGAAAAAAAAAA